CCCCATGGGGCAGTTTCTTCCTCGAATTACTGTATTATGCCTATCTGATATACATTGTACTAGAGTGAATATTGTTGTGACCGCCTTCTTTTGTTCTTCCCAGGTCTGCCGGATATTTCCGGATATGCAACTCCTAACTCTTCTTGGCACAGGAACGGTAAGTTCTTAGAACACCCTCCCCCCCTTCTCTCTCTCTCTCTCTCTTTCTCTTCTCCCACTCGCACACACACATACACACACACACACAAATATGCCTTTGTTATCTAAGTAAGCATAATTCACCTTATTTGTGTTTATCCTTTTTTTCATCCAATCTGTCTTTCTACCAGCCTGATATTTAATATTGCTGGTGCCTTTCTTAGTTAAAGTATCTTTTTTCTTTTTTTCCCTGTTGTTTATTACATACTGCAATAGCAGCCCTTGTTATTTGGGCTACTGCTATTTCATTACACCCTACCCACTGCTCTAAATATTTGCTGTTGGCCTACATGTAGTTGTTGTCTTTTTGAACATTCATAATGTAGGCCCGTGTAGTCAACTGTTGATTCTATTCGAATTATGATAATGATTTTTTTTAAAAGACTAAAATAATAATAATAATATAATAATAATAATAATATAATAATAATAATAATAACAGTAACAATAATAACAATAATGAATGATAATCACTTTTATGCACCCACACCCTGTGGTGGCTCTTTGTGCTTCACTATATAGAATAAAATATCTACAGCTAACTCAGTGTGTAGCACTTTTAATGTATGTACCAACAATCCTTGCAAATGCTGATGCCACATGTCATTATTACCCAAATTATCAACAGCTTTTGTTTATAAAGGCACCAGTTGTTCATGTTAAGTTGCTCTTTCAGCCCTTCATTATCCAATAAATAAAAGATCATGTTCTCTGTTATCTCCCCCCCCCCCCCCCAAAAAAAAAACCCCGCCCCTCCTCAAAACCGAAACAGTTGTCGCTCTTTCATCTGATGGCTCACCTTATGACAGTCCACCCAACGGTCGGCCATCCTCCAATGGCAGCGAGTACGACTCACCACGCCCCTCCCACAGTATGGGCCGCCCAGCTCCTCGTCCACCCATCACAGCGCCAAAGCCGCCTTCCAGAAGCATCTCTGCAGGGAAGAAAGGTCTGGCATACGACGATGTTGATGTTACCACCGATAGAAAATTCAACGAAGCACCACAAGATGAGGAAAATGACGACACCGCCTCAACTGCCAGCCTTCCTATTGCCCCACCCCCACCAATCGGCTCTGAAACTCCGCCCACAGATTCTCAAAATATGGGAATTCCCACAGAACTGGGGTCTCACTATAGGCCTATCTCTGTGAGGGAAGGTTTTAGTCTTGACAGCGAAAACTTTGAAGAGGACGTCAGCGAAGATGCAGAGACGGCCCCTGAAACAAGCAAACCAGCAATTAAAGGACTTTACTTGCAGAACCACGCTTTCTCGAACGCGTGAGCGAACATTCTACTCACCACTGTCATTTGCAATCCGTGTAACTTAAGAATAGCAAGTAAATCCAATTTTCTCTCTGTTAACCTCATTTTAAAAGAAGGATCACGACATATCTCACTTACAATCTTAAAGTTTTTTAATGAACAGGAATCGATCCTGAAAGGTGCACTAACGACTATTGTATCATCAATTAATTATTGTTTCAATTTTGAGTGGAATTCTATGTCCTCTCGCAGGTGCACTAAAACAGAGTATGCACAGGAACACACAAGGGATAAAATAGTCTATTTAGTTTAGGTAAAAAAATGTTACGACACTTGCAACACAAATATGTCATATAAATACCGACCTCACAAAAATGTGCACAGGAAGTCTATTTTATTTTAGATCTTTTTATAACACCACTGGTAAAATTAGGGTACTGTTAGTTACACGGACTGCATATTATTGACATGTATAATATAAATGACACTGACGATCAGAGGAGGCTCTATGTCTTGACTCGTGAGCCTGTCGTGATAATAATTAATAATATGTATATTATTATGTTTTAAGTGTTCTTGTCACTCGTTTCATTGTCGCTGTCCTCAGCTATTTTGGCCTGATGACTGGGGAAGAGCGATCGTATTTATTTGTTAAAACAACACATTAAAAATTAGTCCGGAAAACGGTCGCTCTTTGCCGGCGCAGCCACTTTTGCGGTTGCAGTTTAATACAAATATCGTTGTTATAATTGTTGGTTGTATCTTATTATTCGCATTGTTATTGTTATCAGGGCCAAAATGAGTGTTCCTTGTCAGCCGTACGATTTTTTGGTGGGAACAATATTGTCTTTAAATGACGTTCTCAGGTCTATTAAACGGCCGAACTACATAAAATGTGGGAATGAAAACTACGCACTATCTCACTGCCCCAAAGAGAAAACTTATTACATGTAGCATAATCGTGCTTATGTACTTCTACATGTATGAACTGACCGTTTTGGTTTTGGGCTCTTTTGTTGGGGATAGGGGTGGGGGGGGGGGGGGGGGGGAAATGAAGAAATAGAAACTAGCGTCAGTAATATGTATATGTAATATCCTGACTTTGACGTAACTTTAACACTTCCTGTCTCAATTTATTTAGTGTACGTTAATGGTAAAAGAAATTTAACATAATCGAAACTTCATTAACTCATAACAGTATTACTAATACTATTAGTATTAGTAATTAAAATTTTCTCAAAACACATTGCCATCAACGCCAAAAAAAAACCCAACCGAAATGCATCCTTCATCCATCCATAATACAGGCGACATTGTGGCTACTCTTCATACCCACAGCACAGAAAAAGCAACACTGTGTAGGCCTACTTGTGAGGAGACACAAAAAAAAAAAAAATAGGGCCTAGTAATATTATGATGGATATCAGATTCCGATTAGCCCTTTTGTTTTTCTTTCAGAGATACAACTTCAGATTGACATCCTCTATTCTTTTTAATTTTGTCCAGCTCAGTGGCACAGAGTAGAGAAATAAGAGAAACCATGTTGGCACCAAAGTGGAAGCATTATGCATCTATATTGCTCTGGGATCAACTCATACTGTGTATCTCACACACGAAGCGTTAAGAAAAAGCATTGGTGACACTTAAATGAGAAAGATTAACATGATCAGTTCCTAATAATATAAACATAAACATTTATTTGTTTTAAAACCAAAATGTGGCAGACAGCACGGAGCAACTTTAACACAACGATCCTATTAGGCAACAGTGAATAATATGGTGTGTGTGTACATTTGTATATATATATTAAATCTTACTGGCCTATGTACTGACACTAAGACCAGTAGTATGTACAGAAAATCGTGACAGACTTCCATACCAATCATGTAAAAATTTACATTGTACATATATTGTATTTTTATCTTCATTTTTCATAAATATATTCAGGCTAGAATGAATTTTATTGAGAATTTGTACAGTTGTTTTCCTCTACAACAATTCTGCCTGCGAGAAATTCTTTTGTTTTTCATGGACTGAAAATGATTGAAGCCTATGTTTTATGTAAAATATTGTTGATTTTTCATGGTGATACTGCTTTAATGTTTTAATACGGTACGTTTCTGTTTCTCTTGCACACATAATATCTACACAATCATGAGTTTCATTATACATTTGTACATTTATTGTTTGATGGTGTTTCCACCAATCTGTCTCCTGTACGCTCCGTCAACGCAATTTAGACCAATTAAAAAGTGGGCTGCTTAAATCCTGTCTATCAGGGCCAACCTGAGCTGAGACAGAGAAACTCGATTTAAAATACCCCTCCCACACAGGAACTGAATTCGCGTCTTTCTTGTGTGCAATGACGAAGCACCTAACACTAACAGCTACACCAAAGACGCCAGTGTCCGCTCAGCGAGAGATGAGGGATTAGCATAATGAAAAGGTTATGGTGCTGACCCTGCCTAAAGCTCAAAATTCCTTGCTGTGAGATCCACAAATCTCACGTCTTTTTTCGGGCAGTTTTCAAAGCTTTCTGATACTGGCAAAGCTCAGATCTAAGCCTTTAAGTTTAAGTGGACAGAGGACAAAATAGATACTGGTGTGCCTCTTCTTATTCAAAATCAACCAAACTACAGTCGATCACATACAACACCAAACACACCAGGGATTGACAAATGTGTTTGACACATCCATTACTTGGGTAAACCGATATAACAAAATCAAATGTTAAAGAGATATAGTCGGGGAATGACAAGTTGTACGAGCTATCTGCGATTTTGAGTATTCCATGTTCACGTTATCTGTACCCAACTGTACGTTGAAAGGGCTACTAGATGTAATGAATGAATAACAAAAAGTAATTTGCAAGTACAATTACAAAATCTAGTCCAGCTGAAAAAAAAATACTTGAAGTGCTAGTCAGGTTCAGCCTGACTGGGTTAGTGTATGGTAAGGTGTTGGTGTTTCAACATGAATAAACCAAAGGACGGACTAAACCAAGAAGCTGGCAGATTTAATAACTCAAGCTAAAAACCCCCCAAAAAAGCAGTTCTTCCATGGGAACTTGAACCATAGTTGCTAGCACAGCAGTCCAGCACGGTACTGGTACAAACTTAGCTCATGGTGTGCCCTGAACATCACACCTACAGTTTGAAGCTTTTTCTTCCTCTCATTCATATATCTAAACAGACATCCCAGTTTCGAGTGCAAAGGCTGCTGTCTGCTGCAGGTCCTCAGGACTTGGATCTCTGTCTAGGGTTGGGTCAATATTTCCTTCATTTTGAAACAATTTATGAATACAGTTAAGGCAGCTAAATATCGTCACTGTCGCAAGCAATCCACTCAAGTCCAAACTTTGAGAACTTTCAATTTTTACACCTTCCCAAAGCTCTATCAAAGATGCACCTTTCAAAATTACCAAAATGCAGTTTAATGCTATGGTCTAGGCTAACAATTTTCTTGCTTTTCGTGATTCCTGATAGGAACAACACAACAAAAACTAGTTTTTTGTCTTAGGTGTAAGAAAAAAGGTACCCTAACTGACTTGCTTGCAACATTGACGATATGTTCTTCGTTGTTGTAGCTTGGTCCATTGCCAAACTTGAAAGATCGTTTTATTTCAGAGACATACTGGATTCCAGGTTCAGAAATAGGGTCCAATATGCAGCAACAACGTGATGTTGACACACATTTCTTTTGTGTTAAATCTGTAAATTCAAGACTCACTTAGAACCTGTCGCAAGTATTGGGTATGGGAGCTTCAATTTTAACAGAATAAATAAATACCTGTACTACTTAAGCAGTTCATCTTAAAAAATCATACATATGTGAGGCATCGTGGTGAAATCATGCGCTCGTCAAAATAATGAAACCGAAGTAAAAGGCATTTTCCTCTAGTTTGACAATTTTTATCGAATTTTTGTTTTTTTGGCTCAACACCTTTTTAGTCCTTACAAAAACACGTCCCCATGCGAATTTTACTGAAAAAAGTTGATTAAAGGCACAAAATATGTAACTTTTCAGTTTTCAAAGAATCTCAAATTATGGATGTTACCAAACTTTGGCAGCCATTTTCTCACTAATTTTTACATCTAAAACCATGCTACCCCCACCTCCTTCAATTGCAAATATTTCGACTTCTATTCAAGATTATGGATGTTTTTTCCATAGAAGGCAAGGCAAATGAACACGATTTCAGATGATACCAATAACTTCACATGCCCCAAATTGGCGATCGCCTGATTCCACCACGTCGTGATATCATTACATAATTTACCTGTTTGTTACAGAGGTGCTTACATATCAAATTTACCACTGTATATTTACTACTTGTACTGCACATTGTCCAAAACTTGTTACTAGATATTTCTAGAAAGAAATAAAATTATTCTTTGGAACTGTCCTTTGGACTTTTGATTCAGAATTGACGCGTTCATTAGTCCGTTTTCTCTTTTTTTTTATACCACCCAATCTCTAATTTTAATCTGCTTGAAACAATATCTGATGATAAGAAATAAAATAATTTCATGAACTAAAATGGACAAGGTGTCAGTACCAATGGCATACAGACACCTGAACAGTGAATGCTTTCCTTGACTGTTTCCTTTCTATCGGAGCTTCGCAAATGTTTTGGGAGAAATGGCTGGCCACATACATGTGAAGCTTTTGACTGCTTTTCTAGATGTATATGTTCAACAAGAGACAAAGATACAAATGACCTTCACACAAACACTGTAAAGAATGAATAAAAAGCACATTTATTTCAACCACACAATGGAATATGAATTGATCAGAAGGAAATGTGTAAGGTGGATAACAGTTTTTTCAACACATTTTCATGTACACAATGTTGTAACACTTCAGAGATAAAATTTTTACAAAGTAAAAGCCAGTTAGAGTACAACATCTCTAGAGACTCAGTCTTCCATACAGCAGCAGAAATATGTACATACCAATTAGTCACAACTGCTCAAGGCTATAAGTGCTGAGAGAACAGCAAAAATTCAAAATAAATTTTTGACATTCGAAAAAAATCAGCACTCAAACAGCTTTCTCTCCCCTCACACCATCTTTGAATCCCAGTTATCACCATGGCAGTATTTTCTTCTTTATTGCAAACAAGAACCGATTACTTCATGTATTTATCTTCCTGTTCTGCTAAAATTTTGGCCGATGACTTTGCATCATGGAACAACTCTGACACTTCATCAATTTCCTCCGAAGTGACCGAATCCTTCCCGTTGATGCGAGACATAATGTTGGCTGGTGTGAGCATTTGGACAGCATACCTGATGTGACACAAGAAACACAGAGGGATGAATAAAATATAATTAGTTAAAAATTAATTTTTAAAAATAAGGTGTCTTTAATGACCCATCAGCACAATGTAGATCATTTAGGAGGCAGACTTCCAAACCTGCTTGTCAGAGCTTACACGGGCTGAGAGAGAGCGATACAACATCCCAGCAGAAAGACAAAGAGATACTCGATTAAAATTTCTGCCCACTAGGTATTGAACTAGGGGTCTCCTGAGTGTGACAGTGGAGCGCCTAATGGCTACACCATAGACATCGGTATAAAATATAATGAATTCATCTACTCTGATTATTAAATCATGGGAACCTCCCAGAAATAGGAGTGCGACATATTCCAGATTTTAGTACATGTACTGCAAATGATCAGCACCTTTTCCGAAGGTGTAAAGTACCAATGTATCAGCACTTGACAAAGAAAGGGTAGAAAAACCTATGCATAAGTCCCAGAGCCCAATCTGCAAGCTTGTTGAATGCGAGTGTTTGTAATTAGAAAGGTGTGGCTAAAGTGAGGATTTTGAAATCAGTTTTTATAGGGACATCAGTTCTGAAAGTGACATGGTGTGAGTATAAAGGGAAAGAATCAGTTGTGCCCCAAAATGCTTGCCACTTATATGATTTCAGTTTACTTTCAGACAAGAGGCATTCTTTTTTTCAAAATTATTTGATGTCATACCTAATGTAATACCTAATGCGTTCTGGATTATGGCTATGGTAGAAAATTGAAGTGGTGATGCAAATTACACCACTCTGTCCAAGCACACACTGTAGTTTGTTCAAATGCACTCCTGCACCATATATTATATATTGTGCAGGAGTGCATATATTATAAGGTAAAGGCTGACCAGGCCTAGGTAACCTGTGCTTCCACGGACCTGCACACAAGTCATTAATGATTAGGCTCCTGGGGGATTTGTCCTGATACACGCCTCAAAATCCTAAACCAAGGAAGATAACCCTCTAAAAATACCACACATGTTTTTTTAAACTCTTTTTATCCTGGCCGTACTCCCACGGACTCTGTACCCGTCCTGGGGCCGCCGTGCCATACGGGTTGGAAATCAATGTGTGTATTTCAAAGTACTATATTTCTTACATTTACTATTAAGTTTTAAGGAAATTTGATAGTTACGTTAGAATTTTAATGTAGTATCTGAAAATGTATGTGGTTAGGAATTACATCAACTGCATTATGTAGATTTTGATGTGTATTCCACCCTCCAACTTGACCCTGATTGCAGCGCCAAAACGTCCATTTGGATTTATAGATCCAGCCCTACCTATCAGAACTGCATGAATTCCAGTACTGATCCCTTCACCATGATCAGAACCACTATTAGATGAGTCTAATTCCTGTTCGTTATCATCCACAACAGAATTTACGGCATTTGATTCAGAGTCACTTTCATCAAATTAGTCTCATCCCCCCTCACACTCACAGCCCAGAACAACTTCAAAAAGTACTTCGCCGGACGTGAATGTGCGCTTTCAAGACATTTTTCAAGCTTCTACACCCATCAAAAACAAAGAAACCCCTGTTTATTGGAAAATTAAAATATTCAGAGAGAGTCGTATTTCCGTATTTTGGTAATTACAAGCAGAGCTACTGTTTGACATGACCATATAGCCATTCTGAGTTTACTCGTAGCCCGGACTGGTCCTCGTTACGAGTAAACTCGTAGCCTGGATAGAAATAGTTAAATTCTTAACAAAATGAACAGGAAAAAACACTTCTTCCAAGGAGCAAGTTATTTATTCTATGTGTGAACCCATAGACTCCACACAAAATAATTTAACCTACATATCTACATAGATCTAAGCCTAGCCTATCACTGTTCAGTAGGTGAGTTAAAAAATTGACTGTGACACGTCTGCATTCCTGATGACATCCCACACCAGGATTGAAAACAATTAATCTCCAATCCCCTTAGCCATGTACACAACCAAACATGTGCTGGCCGCCTATCCGACCTCTCTCGGCAAACGTCTCAGGCATGTCAAAAAATGCATATTTGTGTTGATGTGGAAAAAGGCCTCTGATTTGTACATGATGGCCAAGTGTCTCTGATAGGACAAATGTAGTGCACAGTATGAGGTACGTGATTGGGCGCAGCATGATCTACAGTCCTGGTTTATAGAGACTTTGCTTAAATAGCGAAAAATAAATTGGGTATTCTATTTTCTTTTCTTTACTGCTGATTTTTGGATTAACCGTGTTTAACAGACTCCACTGCACAACTTGGTATAATTCGAAGTAAATCAAGCCAAGTATTGAAAGAGTAACGGTCCTCATAATAGGTTTCTTTCTTGAGACAAAAAAAAAAAAAACAGAAGGAGAAAGACTAGTACCTTTTTTAAAAATAGTATTTACATTTACGAAAATCTGAGTCATAAATCAACTGTAATATTTTTGTGGACTTACCTGAGTGTGGACTTCACTCCGAGGGCAGCCAGCTTCTTCAGGGACTCATCTTCAATCTGAATTCCTTCTGTCTGTGAGCGAATCTTCAAAATCTGAAAAGGGGAAAGTTATTCAATTTTGTTAAATTCTATGACAAAAGTGATGTGGAAAAAAATAAAATAACAAAAAACAGAAAATACTGCTAAAATTGTAACACTTTTAATCTCAAAATGATCAATTCAAAAGTAATACTGTTCCTGCAGGTAATGCAATCCTTTTCTTTTTGCAAAAATTATCTTTTAGAGGTATCATTTCCAATAGGGAGTCCCCATGGGCTTGCAGTCAGGGATGAATAGTCAGCTTGGGGAATCCCAGTGTGCAGTATAAAGTGTTGTATGTTTTTCTCTGCATGAAGATAAACTTTACAAACAGCCCCAGAATTAGTGGCGGACACACTTTTTTTAAAAGAAAGAACAATTGTTACCAAGCCAAATACAAGAATGGCTTTCTTTTAGTTTTACACAGCTAAAACATTTCAAAATCAGTTGATTATCAACATAAGCACAATAACCTTCAGTTTAGTTTTAGTAGAGGTTTTACTGCGCTCGCAACTGCATAAGGTCATATGAGTACCAGAAGATTAGAGGTGTTACAAGAGAGTAACAAACATAAAAAAGAAGAAGGGAAGATAAGGACGATAGGGCTGGGCAATGAGTCGCTTTAGCAAAATTCGGATATGTTAGTGCACCTCTTCTGCAATTAATATGATAGAACCGCTTCATCAAATGGGTTAGAACTACTTTGACAAACGGGTTAGCATCACCAACAAAAGGGTGCACCCACTTCGGCAAACGGGTCAGGAAAGGGAGTTAAAAGAGTTTGAATTCGGAAAATGTTTCATTGAGAATTATCCGGTTATCCTTATATTTTTTCCGGATTCTGCCCACCTCTAAAGGACGATAGATGTTTGATAGGAAAGAAGAAGCAAACCACACCAGAGCACCCGCCAACCGCCCACCAATAACCTTCAGAACAACTGGAATACAAGCTGATCCCAAAAGTTTTCGTATCTGGGTAAGAAAGTCTTAAAAATAATACCGACGAGAAGCACGTTCACAGGGTACTCACACAATGTGACCGATTTACACCAAGAGTGGCTCAGCAACATCACTCACACAACCCTTTAGTGATGAAACCCCAGTTTCTCATACACGCATATTTGGTGAACAGAGTGTCAGAAATATGTTTAGTGTCTCTGGCGCATGTAAAGTTTTGGACCATCTTGTTACGAAAACAATTTTGTTTTTGTTATACCTGCATCATTTCTTCTTGTGAGTACGGCAACGTCCTGATGATCATAATCCTGTCCAACAAATCCAGAGGCATCCCGTGAGGGGCTACAATATCTTCTGTGCCCCTGAAATGATAAAAATGTTGTAAAACAAAATGCTAGCACTAATCATAATCCAAGGGTTGCAAATCAAAACAGATAAAAGTTTCAAACCAAGGAGTACTGGAACAGAAGGAAAAACATATGACCAGCATGCAATAAGAATGTTAATATGCACTCAATAAACAAAATTGAAACTACAAAACGTTTTTAAGAGCTTGATTCCTTGCTGTCTCCCTAGCCAATTAAACCAACTACAGTAGAACACGGCTATAGCGGGATTTTCGGTTCCAGAAGAAAAATCCCGCTGCAAGCCAGTTGCCGCTATAGGAATGCAAAGGGGAAATTACAGAAAAAATTTTTTTAATCCACATGATTACATCCCTTCCATATCAATAAAATTTGCGCTTTAAATTTGTCTTCCTTTTCTTGTCAACTTCGTTCATTATCTCGGCTTTTAATTCGAGTGAGAAGCATTTCCTTAAGTCTTTGCTGGAAGCCATCTTTTCCTCGGTTTGTTGCTTGTGCTGTCTATCGTACCAGTAGGCCTATTGTAGAGCTGGTGTAGTGGATGCGTGAGCATCATTGATCGCAATTCAATGAATTAGAAATCACACACTATACGCTCTCCTCTTCTTTTACTTTTTGGCATAGCCTCTAGGGCTATGGCCTATACGCTCTTATACGGCACTGAGTGTCCAGGCTATGGCACATCACTTTAAATTTTGGAGTGGCTCACGTTATGCATTCTCAACGCACCATCTCTCTGCTGCCTGCCCCACCTCACTCAACACTGGAAAGGCCAATCACACACCGCACCGCTGGCTACCTGTTAAGATCCTGCCTACAGCCCCCCCCCCCACAGCTACAGTTCGCTCGAACTATCCAAGTTTGGGCCTTTCTTTGTCCCGCTATATCCAAGCATAAGTAATTGAGTTTACATAGGAAAAAAAAGGGATTCCGGTAAGGTCCCCTATAGTCATGTTCTACTGTACAGTTGTAAATAAACGAAACAGTTACAGGATCAATAACACCTTTAAACCAACTTTTCATCAGTACTTGGGCTTGACCTGGTGATTTCTATGACACAAGGCTGCTTTGCTAGGTGGTGAACAGAACACGAGACTATTCAAGATTTCATCAATCATTTCATAATTGACACAATCCTGAAAAAGACTTTCCCTTCCACCACGAACCTGACCTGAAGTAGGGGAAAGATTTGCTACATGATTACACTAGAAATGCCACCAAAACTTTTTTGTGGATCCATATTTTTACAGGACAAGGAAAAACAGCATATTTAAGGCAATTTATAAACCTTTAAACAATTCCTCTAATTGTTCTCATGCATTTGATCTGAATTTTCTCATTGCACCTTTTCAAGCTTAAATAAGAATACTTCTAATGCCATTTCAGAGTTCTGTAAATGATGAGGAAAGACAAAACTGAACTTCATAATCTATTTCCTCTCACCATCATTAAAATAGTGAACTTAGGCAAAACTCTTAGAAGAGCCATTTGCATGCCTTCTCCTGAATACTCACTTGATCACACATTTCCCTCTGTTGGTGGCAAAGATGACGATGGGTGCGATGGTGGACTCGAGGGCACGATGCAGGTAGGTGAAACACTCAATGTCCAGCATGTGCACTTCATCAACAAAGAGAACGCCAGGGACCAGCTCAGCGATACCCTGATCAATGTATTTGTTCACCACTTTGTTGATCTCTTTGCGCAGTTTGTCTATGGATAACAGAACTTCTTGTCAGTTATTGTTTTCAGGATTTTTTTTTTCATTCGTAAATTTTATCACAGATAAAAAATACAGAACATACAGCTAGGATCACTGATCCCTTTTTGGAAGTAATTTGAGAATGGGAGAAAACATCAGCCTCTTGCCCTTCACCCCCTTATCCGGTTTCTTTTCTATAATTCCCTTCTTGCAACCTCAAGCCATTTTCAAGGGAGCTTTAAACAGTGAAAAACAGCAAGATGAACACTTCTATATAATAAAATATCTACAATTTTCTTAAGGGCTGGTGGGGGACCTGAGGTCTATTTTGGCTATTACAAGGCCTAGAGTGCCCATATTTGCTGTGGGACATTGTATTATTGGGTATTTAAAATGAATAGTTCAAAAAGTATATTGTGAATTGGTTGCTATGGAAACGGCGACAATATTGGATTTTGTATACCTTTTTCAATCCCATTTTATTACCTTATTTATTAACTGATTCATTTCTAATTTGAACAGCAAATATGTAGCTCTTCAATTTAGCTTGTTGAATTTTTTATATTTGCTTTAGTTTTTATTTTATGACACTTACAATTGGGTTGTAGCAAAAAAGTGGAAAAAAATGGAAAATTCATGCTTTCTCAGTCCATAAATCAAAACCTACTCCATTAATCAAAAAATTCAAAAAGCCAAAATTGAGAACTAGGTGTTGTTGGTATCCTGTGAAAGTTACATTGAAATAGAACAAGAAATAGAGCAGAAAAATGGGATAATGTGTGAAAAAATAGAATTGTGAGAAAACAGCCGATAAAGGTAAGAAAAGGCTGGAAAACATGACGTGCTTTCGCAGAAAAATCTGGGGGAAAAACACAGCTTTAGGGGACAGCAAGGCTTACATACGTGTTTGGATATTGTTCAGGAAATGTCCAGGTACTGTAATATGTAATAACCCCACTTTACATAATTTGACCCCAAAACACGATTTCTAGATGCCCCACCAGCCCTTAAGTGAAAACTGGTGGTCAAAACAATTGAAACTGCCTGCATGATAGTGGGTGAGAGGCTTATGGATTTCTTTTCTCTCTGTGAGAGATGAAAGATAACTTTTTTTTAGCTTTTATAGTCTTCACAAACTTCTAAAAACACTCAAAAATAAAAAGCAGCTATGAACTATGAGCTGTTAACAAGAAGCTCTCTAGAATATCTCAACCATTGACCAAAATCTGTTTTTCATAAGCATAGTTAACTGAACAGCAGAGATACATTTAAAAAAACCAAACAAACCTGTAATTTCTGTTTTCTTGGGCTTCATCAGCTGTCCCATCATAGACATAATATCTTGTCCACCCTATAAACAAATACAAGCATTAGACACATGGAGCCTCATACATAAGCAAATCAGGACAAATCCATCTCTTAACAATTCCTTGCATTAAAGTTGCACGATTGTAAAAATCAGTCATTATCCTTTAAAAAATCATCCCTATTTGGTAAAGAAAGTTGTTCAGATTTTAAAAGTGCGAGATTGCACCCTGATAAACAATTACTCAAATCATTTACAGTAAAAGCTAGTTAAAAAAGAATGCACTTTCCCCAAACAGAAATGACCTAAAAATAAAGACATTTTGATGAAAGAGATCTCAGATCTCAATAGTAAACACGCTTAAAATGACACAACTAAAACTGTATAAATAGGTCACACTCTCATTAGCACATTCACCCATTTGTAAGCATTAAGAAATACAGACAGCCAACTTTTACAAAGATGTGAATTGACATTGCACACAAGATACAAAAAGCTTGGAACATTCTATATTTCTTGAAGTAAAAAGGAATCTTGATATCTGTATTTAGCAAACTTTTTTGAGCGCCCATAATCTCACCTGAGGCCTGGCGTTGGCAACATCAAGGTCATGCAAAGTCACATCCTGGATGACTTCCTTCTTCTTATGTACATCACCTTTTGGCAAGGGAACATACTCCTCTGCTTCTAGATCATACTCTGTGGCATAGTTGTCTGACCTTCCTTGCCTCTGTCGAAATAACATTCAAATGTTAGTAAAACAAAACTGAGGGAAACAGGTCTTCACTCCTCTGACAGCCATTAATAAATCAAAAGTATTTGCAATCATCTTTCTCAAGACGAAAAACAGCTAATAATACACCACCAAAATAAGCACAGGATATAGAATTTCAAAAAATGCAAACCATTAGCAGCATTTCAGTGAAATATACTGGGATTCCATCATTGTGTGCAAATCGGTACAGTTTTACAATGAAACATAGAATTCTATTCTCAGTTCTTATCCTCTGGATTAGCGTAAAGCGATCCAAATGATACAGGCACTGTAGGCAAGTGATTTCTAACAGTTGCTTAGTCATAAATACAGAAGCAAAGCACTAAGAACGAAAATTCAGACCATGGACCAAAATCTATTTTTATACATAATTACACAGAGTAAAAGCAAACAATGCATCCCTGCGCACAGTATTAGCATCTTACCTTCACAGCTCCACTGTTAGCCTCAATGTAGATGACATCGCCCACCTCAACTTTTTCTTTTTGTAAACTTTCGTAGATGGATGGGTCAAGTTTCAGCTGTTTGGTTCCTTTGGCAGTCTTCAGTCCAATGACCACATGGCTCACTGTTTTGCCGTAACCTGAAGTCGGAAGATCAAAAAGTGCTGTCGTCAGATTTCTGCACTACTTTTGACTTTATCAAAACACAGATTTACCTCAGTATCTTTGCACACTGTCTGTTTTTCTTTGAATGTATAAATACTTTTTCCCTGAATAACCTTAACCAAAAAACAATTTGTACGTAAAAAAGAAGAAGAAAAAAAAACTAGCTTCAAAAATGAGTTGTAGCTCACAGGGACAACAAATGAAACAAAAAAACCCCAAAAACAAAAGCATCAAAATTGCAACCTTTTTATCAGTACGAAAGGAACATTCAAATCTACATAAATTTCACATCACTTTGTAAGGGATTTACACTAAAACAAACATTAAGCCAAAATTGTGTATATTTCATCAACAAAGCCAACACCCGGGCCGGTGCTACTGACTGAAGTGTTTTTAGGCCATTTCCAAAGGGGGGGACATTAACCATGTTGTCATGCACAGTAGAATTGTAATTGTAAATGGGCTGATTCATGCTCACAACTGTGCTTGAACTGCAACAGGGAATTCCTGCTTTTTCATTCCTAATCCTTACTATCCTCATTTTTTCTCTACTTCTTTTGTATGTTTGTCACTCTCGTGACCTGCTATTTTCGGGGTGCCTTGATAGTCAAAGCAGACTTTCTGCTGTTGAAGCTAGAGAGGTGAGCAAAGTAAGCCTGATTCCCTGTAAGGACTTCTCTGTTGACATCCACCTCTTGGCGCTCATATGACCTTATGCAGTTGCATAAGGAAGGGGAAGAAGGAGGAGAGGAAAGAGTGGAGAGACCCTCGGCGATATTTTGGAGAGAGCAACAGAGCATCAATGGACATGTCTGAAGTGCAGAGATGTTGCTTCCTGAAACAATGAACAATGAGCGCAGTAAAACCTCTACTAAAACAATCAACAAAGCTGCACCCAGACACAGCAAAAACATGACACAGATTCTCTGAATAAGAACATACCTCCCATTGGGTTCTCTGTCTCTGCTGGTGTGAGTTCGGTCACTTCACCCTCGTAAACTTCTTTTGTCTCTTTGATACGGAGTCCGATGGCTCTTCGGAAATTTTCCATAAGAACCTCAGTCTTCTTGATCTCGGAGGAGTAGACCTCACTGCCCACCATAGGGCAAAAGGGAACCTTAGAGCCCAACTCCTGAGCTATAGCCAAGGCAATAGCAGTCTGATAACAAGAGACAAAACAAACAAATGTTGATGTCCCAAAGTCAATGATGCACAAAAGGGCTCCGCTGTAACCCCCTCTTCCACCCGCCAACAATCATTCCCTTTCTGAAGTGACACAATATCTTCTTTTTTTTTCCAGCAGCTGCCATATCGGCTGTGCTTTAAAACTTTGTCACCTGGAATTGGAAAGGTGATTTTTCCAAGATGAAGACAAAAGCAACTTTGATTCCAAGCTCTATTTCTTTCTTTATTCAAAGCATGACTTCATTAGCTCGAAAACACAAACATAGCTCATATTTACTCTAACGAATTAAAGAAAATTCATACCCAGTTCTATACATGTAAAAAATTGTTTAAAGACTAGACTGCTATGAAGAAATGAAGATGGCAACCCTCCCACCTCTAAAAAAAATCCCACCAAAGGAGTGCAAATAATTCGCAGTCCGGCACCCTAAACCGTTTTTAAAGTTTAAAAAAAGCAAAATCTTTGACAATTACTATTTCAAAATATATATTTATACATGGGAAGACAAGCTGAATCTCAGTAAAAAGTGCCCATTTCCATTGATAACAACTAATAATTAATATATACATAGACTAAAAATAAATTGAAGTCAAAAACTGACTGTAGGTTATTTCAACCTCAAGAATGGTTTTAATTTTTTCACTCTGCTCAACCCTTTACATTTTGTTCTTCGAGCAAAACCAAAAACACAAAGCCCACCCAAAGAATATTAGCTTGCCTTACCTTGCCAGTGCCTGGAGGGCCAGCCAATAACACAGCTCTCCCTGCCATTTTCTTAGATCTGATAAGCTCAACCACAACTCCTGCAGCCTGAAACAGGAAAGACACATGAATAAGAAGACTGAAAAAACAACAACCAAGTTTCTTTTCTTCCTACATGATAATATCATCATTGCATAACAACATACAAAAACCAGCCTGAAGTGGTGCCTCAAACACAAACTATCGTAGAACTAAAGTCATGGAGAGGACATTACTGTCACTATTCACAATGTAGATTTTTACCAAAGGAGGGTACTATACTGTATAACTGTGGTGGCATTGACCTTTGCATCACTTTTTAGAAGAAACCAGACACTCTTCAGACTTCAAAATCTAAAAGAAAGTAGCATTCAAAATTCCTAAGAACATGGTGGAGCTGGATTTTCATAACTTTGAGCATAAGAATCCATGAACTTGTCAGTTTCAAAAGTATCATAATAAAACACTCCAGAATTGAGCCATTCCTTTCCAAGACCAATTGCACAAACTTCTAAAATGCGCCCATCTGCTTTTCAGTATACGTTATATGTTCAAAGCTGGAGCTCAGGCTAACAAATGTCAAGTGTGTAACTGTGACATGGAGTTATGTGAGTGGTCCTTAAGCAACACACAATAACCCTGGCACAAAAACAGGGCGCTGCGCTGCACAGCGGTGATCAGCAGTCAGCAACGGTGTGTCACGTGTGTTTTTCTTTAATAAAAGTTTGTGCGCGACATCGGACTGACTGTCTAGATTCTAGATCTAGCTGCTGTCATCGAGAAAGATGAAGAAGAATTCTGACATAAAACAATACAACAACGCAAACAAAATTGGTCTTGATTTATCAGATTCAATCAATTCAAAGACAAAGAAAAAACATTATTTAGCCTATCCAATCAGTCATGCCCAGTTAGTAGTTTACAGTGAGAATGAGAGCCTCTTTTCTATGGGCTCCTCATAAACGGTTGAGACACAAGGAACATGTATCATTAATGTATGCTATCTTTCATTCACTTGAACTTGGATATATGTAGCCCATAACATAGATGTCTATATTCAAACGGCGAAGACCGAACGTCAATCTTCTAGAAAGATCATTTGGCGTCCCTCGATACGAAAGGGAGGAAGCTTCACATGCCGGTACACGATCATAAATACAAATTACCTCGCGAGCAAGCTCTTGTCCAACAAGGCCAGCAGACGTCTGGACAGCATATCCATTTTCGTCAAGCCCAAGACCTTTTATGTGACTGTGGGAAGCGATTCGCTGTGCTTTCGAGGTAGATTTTACTTCTTCGATCTTCATCTTGATCAGTTCACAACACGCGCACGGTGCTGGTATTCAGTTTTCTTTCAGAAACGCTACTGCCGAAAACAGGAACAGAGGAAATGAGTATTTGGAATCGAGACACTGACTAGGTATCGAACCTCATTTATGTTTCTAATAAGGGACTAAGAGATCTTTGGCGGCGTTTTTTTTAAATTCGATTCTGAAATCAAATATGAGTCGTAAAATAAGATTTACTGTTTATAGTTTAACCAGAAACATAATTTAATATTATTTCTTCAATAAATCAATTATCTCAAGACAATAAAAGAGATTTTGAATTGAAAACCGAAATATTGTGGATTGTACTGTGTATTACGACTATTTGTTCGCGCAGTCGCGTTTGTCATAACAACGGTAGTCAACAACATGGTGGACAGGATGAATTATTCAAGATGCTTGACAAGTTCATGGTGAAGAAGGTAATTGGTCACGAAAGTATGCACCGACAACAAATCTTTGCTCTTAATATTTTATCAAAATCTGAACCTCTTACCGTTTACGCCCGTCTGATAACTTCTAGACACGGAATATCATACTTTTTAGTGTATAGGGCCTACCTATGCGTTCACTGTCAAATTCATAACAAACATGTTCATTTTTAGTCCGTGCGATTCTTTTTCTGTTCTTTTTCCGTAAGCCAAGTTCTTTGATACAGCGAGGCTTTGTTTTGTACAGCTCATTTAACTGTTTGTACGTAGATTATATATTTTGCAAAAATTGAATACTATTTTTAAAAGGAAAAAAGATTTTATTTTATTTCTGCATAGGCTTGTTGAGTATCAATGAGTAGGCTAGTGTTTGCACTGTTAATGGTTAGCGTATCGCCCCAAACTGCTGGATTATAACAAGCCTAGTTTTTACATGCATGCTTACCGTGTTGTGTCTTAACAATGGACTTATTTTGTTTTGTTTTTTTCTTTGACAGGAAATACAATGAGTGATCCAGACGCGGAGGGGGAGAGGGGGGTAAGGGAGAAACAAGAAGATGAGAACAACACTGATGAACCAGTGGCTCTGGTCAATAATGGGGAGGGGCAGGCAACAGATGGAAACGTTCTAGAAATGGAAACTGGTCCAACAGAGACTGTGGAGGCAGATAGAGATGAAGATCAACCTGCTGTTCCTGGGGTTGGTGCAGATGTGGAAGATAACACTGTAGATGGTGGCCTAGGGCTGAGCCTGCAGCCTGATATAGAGGAATATTCTCCTGCAATTTCTGCATTACCACCAAGGGTTGTCAAACAAGAAGAAAATCAGGTTGAGGTTTCTGCCAGTCCAGCCTTTCAATGTCTTGATGAGGTAAGTTAAATCATTTGCATTTTGACTTTGTAGGGAACATATCCAAGTGATGTGTATAAAAAGAATTGCAGAATAAATTAAATGGGGGTATTCTTTTTCGGTTAGTATAGGTCTCAAAGGCTCATTAGGTGTTGCTATTTTTTCCAGCCTATTATTCCATTGAATATCACGAACATGTGTTACTTGATCTACATTTTTCTTTTCTCAATGGTAACTTATTTGAGGCAGGCTTATTTTTACTTACTTCTGACAAAGAAAGTCTCTGAAAGCGGTGACGTAGATATTTATAGACGTCTTCAATGAATAGTAATTCACTACATTCACTAGATGATTGGTAGAGGAAACATTTTGATGATTTGAGAAAGATAGATGTATTTTCAGTTGCTTGCTTAGCCTTGTATGCTTTGTTCCCTCAACTGTCTTTAAACTTAATGAACTGTGTGTGCTTAATATCATTTGAAAAAGAACATGAAACAGGAACAGTGAAACTAAGAATTCAACTTTGAATTCAGGTATATGTCTGTCAAGTATAAGTGCACAATTTGTGTGTTGTGAACATTTGTAAAGAAAGAAGCGTGATGTATTTTTTGGTTTGTTTTAGTGTTGTTGTACACTACAGTATTGCTTTTCTGATCCAGCTGTTTCAAGAGGGAAAACTCACAGGCACCAAAGTTGCATTCTTGAAAGCAAAATACACAGAACTTCATGAAACATTGAAAAGGTAAGTAGACAGTCAACAATGACAATTTAATACTTTTAACTTAAAGAGAACAAATCTGTGCATCTGCTTTTCAGTTTTTCATGGTTTTCTCCTGTCACGCATGTGATTAAATAGTTGCCTCTAAAACAAGTCTTTATATATATAGATTTGCATTCATGACAAATGGAATAAACATGGAGGAGCAGATCTAAATCATCCCCTTTTACAATAAAATGTAAGTCATGTCTGAGTCCTGAATGATATAGCGGAACCTAACAGATACCAGGTCATGAAATGCATTTGAAAATATTCTTTCTTTCTCTGACCTCTTCTCAGCACTCGTGATAGTGAAGCCAAACTATTACGAGAGGCAAAAGACAGCACAGGTGAGCTGGAGCGACAGACAGTGGAACTGGAGAAAGCAGACAACTTCCCAGAGAGTTCTAACTCTGAAGTGTCTAAAATGAGAGAGCAGCTTCTCAAGTATCACAATGAACTAGCACAGGCAGAGGAAAGACAGTATCAACTCGAGTATAAGATAGAGACGTGAGTGTGAATTAATAAGATTTCTGTGAAAATCTGTGTCAATTGTAGAGTATAATATAGAGAGATTTACTAGCCTGAAATAAACATGTTTCTTTTTAATCTGTTCAGTTGTTTGAACTTTCGATTAAGATGAAGTAAAGTTTGATGGCTTTATAATTTCTTCTCAGGGATCTTACCATGATTAAAATTGATACCAGTATCTCTATTATGTGAACTTCTTTGTATTATTAACTTTTTTGTTTATTCAGTATTGTATACATAAAAGGTTTTCTGTTTTATAATAAAATTTCTAATTTTGTAAGGGACCAAGATTTGCGAATGGTTTACCCTTTGACCAAAGATAAACTTTGATGTCCTTGTTTTATTGACATAGTTCCAGTGTACTTTCTGTACAGATACAAGTGATATTTGAGTGTAGACCATTTATTCATTTCCATTCAGGCTTGAAGAAGAGAGGAAGATTGTTGAAAGGGAGTTTAATCGGCTGCCCAAACAAGGGGTAAGTGTGATGGAGTTCTTATTGTCATTCCCCATTTACTGAAAGCTGACAAAGTTACTATCACTCAGCCTTGCTTATAAGAATCCATGAGATTTTGTCCATTAAGCTTGCAATTAACTCTTCCTACTATTTTCACTAATATTATTATTTCTTTCACTGTACTTAAGAAAAGCTGCTATTATGAATTGAACATGTGGTAATCAAAGACTGGGAAAGCTTTTTAAACCAGCTTTATTATAGAAGATACTTATTATGTTTTATTGTATCTATGGTTTCTTTTAAAACTGTTATTTCTAAAGGTTTAACATTTGTGTTGATCCTAGAAATGCATATGACATCCAGCTCTAAGATTTTCTCTGATTAGATAACATTTAATAAATTGGAGGAGACTCGGCTTGACTTTATCAAATACATGTCTTGTGATGATGATCTGCAGGAAGTTGAGAAAAAAATTAAAGAGCTTCAGAATGGCACCGAGGAGATGAAAAAAGAGATCCTTCAACGGCAGGCAGAGAAGAAGACTCTGGGTGAAGATCTGGAGTCCACACAACGACAGATTACCACTGATAAGAAGGAGTATGAGAAACTTATAGATGAACTGGAAAAATTTAAGGTGAGTCATTAGTCTTGTTCTTGCTATCAAATTACAATGGATTGCTTTTACAGAGTAGCTTCTATGTGTTTTTTCCCTATGAGGATTTATTTCAGTGGCTCTTAACAAGAAAAATATTGTTAAATGTCTGCACACCTGTTAATCAACATGAAAAAATATGAAATTTCTATTTGTTGTTGCTACTTGTTGCTGTTGTTGAGTTCACAGTGAGCTAATACAAACACAGCCATGTTTCACAATAGTTGAGTTATAACTTTCTGTGTGTTCTCTGTTTCCTCTGAAAACGGGGG